CTATTTCTGATTATCCTTCAGGTATAGGATCTAGAGGCAACTTGGAATCAGACGCGTCCGGACAGTTGCGTGGAGGTCGTGGCCCAGGGACCGCAGTGGGCCGTGGACGAGGAGGACTATCCTCCTTCTTCTTCAGTACGTTTGGGGCTTCATCCTCTGCTCAGCACCAGTACCTACCTGCCATCAACTTCCTCTAACTCCTTCCTCTTTTACCCTGTTCCTGGCCCCAGTACAGTTCCACGCAGCTGCATAGTCACCTCTTTGCAAGGAATCCAATAATGGTCCATTACGTCATTTCAATTAATATATGTAATTATCTCATTTATAAGCAATTTGTCACTTCTTTTGTCAAGCTTCATCATAGAACAGATCCACGTATCAGCCTCAGTTTGTAGCGGGACAGTAGTACTTTATTCACTTTTTCCCAAAGGCAATATTTTGTTCAGATTGTGAATGCTTTCGTCTAATTATAATGTTTTTTTCTCAGCCATATATCCATCTTCTCGAGCATGCGAGACCACAATTATGAAAGAGATAAATAACAAGCTACAACTACATAAAGAAGGATACACATGGGATGTCCGTACCACAAGAGGCAGAGACTTTTTTATTGGGAGGAATTTCAGGTACGCTTTTGGTTTAAGTTAATATCAACATTCAATGTTTACATTTCAATCCAAGATACCTCCTTAGTATTGGTTTAAGTTATATCATCATTCAATGTTTACAATTCATCAAGATACCTCCTTAGTATTGAAACGCTATTTTTCATTTTTTGCAGAAACATTTGATATGGGACGAGGCCATTACGACTATGCTGAAGTGGCTTAGGAGAAGTTATGCTCTAATCGATATGCTGACTTCACCTATATGATGAGAAGAAGTGGTAAAAAGCAGCAGTGCGTGTCTCAGGAGATATGGGAGAGCTGGCAAAAGGCTTGGGAGGATCTGCATTCAAGAGAAAGCGGGAGATATTTACACAGAATAAGCGCAGTGAGACTGGCGGTGATGGAACAGGACCTTCTCAACACACAGGCGGATTAATATCTGCTATAGAGACAGCTCAATTATTAGTAAGTGAACTAGTCATAGTATATGAAACTGATGTTCAATGAAAGGACACTATATATATTAATATATCATGGATAAAAATTCATTACAGGCTAAAGAATTAGGTCGTGAGCCAACACCGATTGAGGTGTTTACATACACTCACACGAAGGACCACGATCTTAATAGGACCACAATCTTAAATAACGGGTTTGTCCGACATCACTTTTCAAAAGAACAAATGAGGACTGTACGATGAAGCGTCAATGTAAGTAACAAGGAATAATATTTCATTTACCATCTACTCCGTTGCGAAGAATGTACAAAGTTCAATATAATAAAGCTCTGCAATTGCATTGATTAATTAATTTTTTATTTTCAAGAGACACTTATACTACAACTCGGGACGTCTGTTTCTTCTCAGACTGATGAATCTAAGTTGAGTCCAAGAATGAACAGTAGGCACTTCTATCTCGAGGCTGTAGGGGCGAAGAAAAAAGGAAAAGGTAATACGGGCACGGGGCCAGCATTCTCACGCTCCTGCACCCAAACCACACCACAAGCCCGAGCACACTGCCGAGGAGTTTTACTGAATACGGGTCGGTTGATGATCAGCAGAAGACCAAATTGTAAACTTAAAGCGCATGTGATGCCCGGCTGTTCGGTGAGCCCCGGTACTGTACTACTCTCCTCTTATCCTCCTCCGCCTGCTAACAGATCGAAATGTTTCGACATCTCAGCAGCAGCCACTTCCGTCTCCCTGAATCCGGATGACTGCCAGACATACCTTTGCACACCTCTCCGCACTACCAGCACATCCACAGGTACCCTCCTGGCGATTCGGACATCGGATCGTGCAGATGAGCAATCCGCGTAATTTGATTTTGGACCTTTTTAGTTTTCATTTGTTTTTTGACCATTTTGTTCAGTACAATAAGCAATAACATTTTATATTGTTCTTGAATGCGTTGTGATATATATAATATATATATATTACTTATATATATAATATATATATATAACTATGTTTGTGTGTCAATTTTCACAGGTGCAAAAAAAAATGTTTTATAATAATAATTTTTTTATTTTCAATTTTGCTAGCCTCGATTTTGCTACAAAAATAAAATTTTAATACAGTTGCGACCGATTTTGGCGACTGAATTTCATAATTACGACGACTTTTTCTGCGACCAATTTGCACCAGCATTCCAAAATGAAAAAACACAAAATTTGCGACCGATTTTTCAATTTTGCGAACGATTTTATCAATCGCTAATTTGCGACCGACGCAAAAATCGGTCGCAAAGGACTTTGCGACGAGCATTTTGGTGACCGATGTCTTTCGGTCGCTAATTGAATTTAGCGACCGATTTTTGGCATTTTACGACCAATTGGTCGATCGCAAAATGCCGTTTTTTTTTGTAGTGCATGCTGAACCATCCTTAGAACTTAGGCTCTAGCACGCCCAGACCGTGCAGAACATCACGCCCGTGCTACGAATTAAGTGTCGTCTTAAGTCGAGAATGCCAACCAGTCTCTATAACTTGCATGGGCCCACCTCAGATACTTTCCTGACGTACAAATCAAGATCTAATCCTATTTAGGTAGATGGAAAAGTCCTAATTGAAAAGAAATCCAAAGCCTAAACAGTTTCCTATCTCCAAAAAATTTCTTACTTAATAAGGATTCTATTTCCTAAACGAAGTCGGATTTTCTCCCAGAAAGTCTATATAAAGAGAGGAGTCATTCATTATGGAGGGGATCTCCAGTTTTGATAGTTTTTGTTCTATTGTTCTTCTCTCTTTTCAAGACTTCAAGCGTTTAAGATTTGTGCAAGGATTCAAGGAAGCCGCCCAGAATCAATCATTAACTAGTTTTTATTTCTAAACTCTTTTCTTGTTTTATTTTCAATATTCATGTTGATTATGAGAATATAGACAAGTTTAATTGAGTTTTATTAATTCCTATATTGAACTAAAACTCTCATACTAGGGATCTGATGTAGCTTAATTTTGATTCCAATTTATAATATTAGATTTCCTTTTCCTTGTTCATGATATAATTTATTATTGAACTTAATGCTTACAGGCAAAGTTACTTCCCTGGATTGATTTATTTCATTAATCTCTATCGGGAGAAGGGTTTTTGATATATGAGTAGGGTAATAAATTACACGAGAATAATAACTTGATGAGGAAGCTATATGGTTTGACTCATGGGGGGTTTTCATAAGTTAATGACTTTAGGTTATGAATTCATAAACAAACCAGGTAATTAGACGAGTTACTAGTCAACACGAAAACTTGTTAGTAATTTTTAGCCTTTTTCCCCTACTTCCAATTAAAATTGATTTATTAAAAACTAATAAAAATAAATTAGATAGAATTAAGTAAATCGAAATCCCTAGTAGCTTTAAATTCTTGATTTTTTTCGTCATTGTTGTGCTTGATTTCTTTTTGTTCTTTTTTTTATTTGTTTAATTTAATTTCTTAAAATAATTCCCCTTATTGTCGTTTAAATAATAATAAGTTAACATAATTTTAGTACTTGGTATACAATCCATGCGGAAACGATACTCTACTCATTCTATATTACGTGTTGCAATTTTCGTACACTTGCGAAAAATCACTGTCAGCTGCGTATTTACTAGTAAAGGGGGCTCTTTCGACGTAGGAGAGCGGCTTACTGACCCTCCTCCTCTTGTTGCTCCTGTCTTGACTTCAGATTAATATATTTTTCCAACTATTCATCAAAAAAAAAAAAAAAATCCTCCAAATAAAAACTTAAGTGACAACTCCTTTTTTTTATTATTATTTTTCCATGTGCCCAGTCAAATAAGCATTTTTGATTCCTTAGCGAACCAAACCTGTGTTCTCAGAATGTGGCTTCACAAATACCCACCAAATAGCTCCCTTTTTTTTTTTTTTTTGTTACTTTCCACTATAATATCTAATAAATATAAAATTAGTAAGCTAAAAAACCTAGTTTATCCAAATTAATTTTCCTAATGCTGTGCCAAAATCAAAATCAACACTTATTTTAGAAAGGTGGGAGAATTCTTATGACACCACAAAAGTTGCTGTGGATAAAAATTTTTGTGATGTTTATTTTGACATTGATTTTAACAAGGGACACTAGTACACTGCAATTGACAATGGAGAGTTTTTCTTAGTCTTAGTTGTATAATAATCTTTTGTTAAAAGTAAAACAATGACAAGATATGGATTAACCTTTTTCATTTTTTATTGAATATAAAAATTTTACTTAACATACAATGTAGAATAATGGAGAAATACCAAAAAACAAAAAGTAGAATGAAGGAGAAAATATCTATTCTGAAAACTTTATTTAATTAATTGATCCATTTTATATTTAGAAAAACACATGTAATTTTCTTCCATATTATTATATGTTATTTTAGCAAGTGATTGATGTAATAAAAAAAATTGAAATACAAAATGAAAGTACTTTATCTATATAATTTGAGACTCATAAAATAAAAAGACATACCTAGAATTTAGGTAGAGGGATGGAACGACGATACTCATTTTTTAAATAACATGGAATAAACTTAAGTCGGTATAAATTGCTTTTATCAAAGAATTAGTGTCGTACCGAAATTATTTTTTAAATAAGATTCAGAATATATTAAGATATTTCTGAAATGTCTTTTCGGAAACAAATCAGGATTTCTATAGTCTTGTGCACATCTTCCTCTTATGATGATATTATACTTGTCTTATTATCTGAATAATTCTGAATTAGATTACCTTACTGTCAAAATTAAACCAAAAAGTATAACTTCAATAGCCCAAAAGTAATTTTGTGCGGGTATTATTAGTAAGGGTAGATAATACTTGGAAAAAAAACTAAACCCTAAAACCCTAATATATATTTAGAAAAGTTAGAGAAGTCAAAAGAAAAACAAATGCATATGTGAACTATTAATTTAATTGGTGGGATTACGAGTTGTTATTATATACATGATGTAACAGTCTAAGCAACCCTGAATATCTCATTTCTAGTGAGCTCCATCTCTTTATCCCCATTTTCATCATTCAACCTTTTCTCTTCTTCCTTGGCCTCTTCTAAGGGTTTATAAGTATACAACCAAGCACAAATTACATAATAAACAAGATTTACGACTTGGATACCTGTTACAAGCCAATAATAGTAATCTAATCTTCCCCTGTTAAGATTCCTATCCGGCAACCAATTATTTTCTTGGCCAGTGTACCTGTGAACTAATGAAACTATAAGCGTACCTATATAATTTCCCATTGCAATAGCTATCCAATAGAGAGCTGCAGCGGTGCTTCTCATGCTTTCAGGTGCTTGACCATAAAGAAACTCCAAGTGCCCAACAGACATGAAAACTTCTGCTACTCCATGAAGGCAAAATTGAGGAACTAACCAAAACACACTTATTGGAATAATGGCTTTAGCATTATCCAGTAAGTTGTGATGGGCAGCTACTGCTTTTCTTTTGCTCTCAACTAATGCTGAAACAATAGTTGCAATTATGTTAACAAAAAAGCCTATGCCCATTCTCTGTAGGCAACTGATGCCTGAGGGGTTTCCAGTAAAACGACGAGCAAAGGAGACGAAAACGCGTTCATAGAAGACGAGTCCTGTGAGCATTGTTAGAATACTAAAGATGGATAAGCTTGCTGGTGGGATTTCGAAGGAACGTGACAAATGACGATCCATAGTGCGAGCTTGTTGGATAACAAAGCTTTGCAGATGTGAAGAAGATGTTACAAGTAAGATCCCAGATGCCCAAATGGGTAGCATTCTTATGATGGATTTTAGCTCCTCAACTCTGTGGACTGTAGCTAGCCTCCAAAGATTGAGCGTCTTCGAAGCTGTTTGCTCATCATCTTTTGTCACAATTGCAGCTTTATCAAACCACCTGCAAGTACAAATTTGGTACTAAGATGAAATTAGACTGGCTCCAAATAAATAAGTTTTTTCTTGAAAGTAAACATTGGTTAGTTGAACTCTGTGCAGAAAATATGTAAGTATAACTACTTCATTAGGTTTTTAAGTTATCTTAAGAGTTAATAAAACATACTTGAACTGATTGGTGTGCAAAAGTCTTCCATCGGTAGAAATAGCAGCATCAAGCTCCCCATTCTGGTACAAGAGCCTAGGGTCATCTGGCACTGGTATTTTCCTCTTCTTCGCAGCAGCAACGATCACTTGAGCCAATCTGACCAAAGGGCTACCGCCTGGTTTTAACTTGATATAAAGCGGATAACCAACTACAAAAGCTACAATAGATAACGCCATGGCTACGGTTGGGATTCCAAGACCCCAAACCCAACCCACATTATCTTGTATATAAACTACAATCGTCAAGGCAATTAATGTTGCCATTCCCATGCTAAAATAGTACCAGTTGAAGAAGTTCCATCGGCGAGAATTAACACTTGATTTGGTCATATCGATTTGGTCCGCTGCAAACGTAACCACACAAGGCCTAATGCCACCAGTGCCAAGAGAGGTGAGTATGAGGGATGTGTAGAGGACCCATAATTGTGAACTTGGGGCTTCTTTGCAATTTTGTTGGGTTGGACATGGAGGTGGTCGGAGAGATGGCAGCGCTGCTGATATAGTAATGCTGATCATTCCCTGTGACAGGAGACATATATAGTTTTATCCAGTAAAAGATTGCTATACATACGAGTAATAAACATTAAATAGTGTTATTGAGAGAGACCAGTTCATAGATAATGGAACCGATTATGATGGTCAAAAAGCGGCCTGCAAAAGAGTCAGCAATCAAAGCACCAATAAGGGGAGTGAAGCTAGCCGTTCCACTGAAGTTTGTGAGGGTATTAGAGGCCTTAACCAGTGGCAAGTTCAGCTGCTGTGTCAAATACGTTATCATATTGGCATGAAATCCAGTGGCTGCAAATCTGTCACATATTTCATTTGCTGCGTAAAATAAAATTCACATTATTTGGTCATAAATTATAGTTACAAATGAACTTTATAGCGGATATTTGACAGCTTTTTATTAAGTAATATAAATTAAAAACAAACATTGAAATCCACTAGGTACAACCAGTTTATGTGAAAGAAGAGAGCAAATAGTTTTATATGTTAAATGTGGATGGAAAAACAGTAACTTTACAGATCTAAAGAAGTTCACTTCATGCTGATTTAGAGTTTCATTTTAATCTGTTACTTGTCTGTATGGAATTTTGGTGATCTTTTCTTTTTGTTTTATTTATTTATTTATTTATTTAAATCATCTGAAATAAAATTTGCACTAATAATGATAAAGAAAAAAAGAATCAATTGACATATTTACACTGCCCTAATAGTTACTCACCAAGGATGAATGGCAGTGTCTTGATGCCTCCAAGCTGATCATGTTTTCTACTGGCTTTCTTCTCCTCCTCTTTCCCATTGTTGACAATTCCGTTGTTTTTTTACATGCCTTCCTATTTGTTTCATGTCCTAATTCAGAGCAAGGTGTAAGTTCCAATATATATACTGACATGGGAGTTAGGACAAACACTGGTCCTACAAATGTTTACTTAATTGCAACCTGACGTAGTATCTTATGTCATATTTTATCAATCTTATCATTGTATTATTATTTTAATTAGTTCTCTTTATTGCAATAAATAGTTTGCCAAAATAATTTGTTTAATTTCCCAAATTTATTTATAATTATAATTTGATCCTTTTTATTTTATAAATACACTGATTAGTTTTTTAGGTTTAATTTCTTTGAGTTATTATTCAGTCTATCATCCTAAAGATACCCTTTTTTTTTATAAATGAGAGACTAAATAATAATTTAATAATAAATGTGTGTGGCTAAATCATTAAAAATATTCTCTTAAGAAAAAGTACTTTGTTTTCCAACTTTTAATAATTATAATTACAGTTGTATAGTAGTATTTATATTATATTAAATTTAAATGACAACACTTTTCAAAATTTCAAGAATTAATCAGTTTATTTATTAAATAAGAGAAATAAATTTATGAGGTAATATTGGTTTAAGTCTCTATTAAATCGTAAAAGATTTTAAAATTTTAGTGATATTCAATTTAGATTTTTCTGGAGTCTATTGAAATTTATGGTATTCAATTCAGAATCTTATAAAGTCTATAAAAATCTTATAGTATTTAATTTAACTTTTTAAAAGTCCATAAAAATTTGATGGTATTCAAAAAATTGCTAATTTGAAAGCATTTTATAAAATTATTGATTTAATTGGATTTTAGAGTGATGGATATAAATAAAATAGTCATTCACAAGTTCATCCTCTAACCCAAAGATTTTAAATTTTTTTAAAATTTAATAAAGTATTAATCCAATGGGATGACAATTTTACCCAATCCGATCCTATCCAATTTTAGCATTTTTGGATAGTGAATAAACAGGTTTGGGATATGTTCGGATAGTATTTTTACTACCCACAGCAAATCCGGATTGAATTCGGATTTAAAGACCCGGGTACCCACTATCCGTTACTCATTTAATATATTCAAAAAAATATTTAAAATAATTATTTTTTCAAAGAAAGTTGTTTCTTTCTTCCAATAAAATCTCTAATCTGATGTCTGATTCTTCTCCTCTAAATGTAATCTCTACATCTTTCTGAAATTATTGAATTCAATTTTCCAGATAAACTTTTAATTTTTCTTTTTCTGTTTCTTATATGCTATTAAATTTATTGGATTTTAATAATAAGCTTATTGAATTGCTTTGTATATTAATTATTTGCTTCAAGCCTTTGTAATTTTTGAATTTGGATAGTGTTTGACGAAACGAGTTGTTTATCTATTGCATTTTGAGTCCAACACACTATTGATATCAAAAGAATCGTTTCTAAATGAAATTATAAATAACTAAAATGGGTAGTGCGGTTGAACTGGTCATGTCCTCCCCTCTATCCAGCTCAAGGAATATGTAAAAATGAATTTAAATTTGAGACAAGAATGTGTTGTAGAGTAGTTGGTTAGTGTGATTAATACTATGCCATTTGAATAGGGTTCAAATTGAGACCATGCAGATTTGCTTATATTTTTTGCCATTTGCTTTTTTTTTTTTTTACCATTTTGCATGATACTCATGTGTCGACCATGCAAATCTGCTTTATTGAACGATTGACACGTTCTTAACTGAATCATAAATGCAATAAACCAGCCTCTCTATTTCTCTTTTTTTTCCGATAATCTTTATCTCCTTTCTCTTTTTTTTTCCGACCAGCAATGGCTAGATAATGGCAATGAAAAACACAATTTTTCCTTTTCATTTTTCCTCCAATTGTAATTTCCTTTATGTTATGTGGCATGGAGTCGATGAAGGGAGGAAGTGCCACTACAAAAAAAACGTATTTAAGCGATCGATATTAGCTATCGACTCTATTTGGTTGCTAAACAGTGAAGACGAATGACGATTGCAATTTATTATGAATCATTCAATACGTTAGTGACGACTTTAGTGACCCCTAGCGACCGATTGAGTGACAGAGCTATCATCCGTCGCTAAAATTGGCACCAAGAATTGGCACCATACTTTAATACCGATTAGCAACGAATTAGTGACCGACTTTGCGAATACGCTATGACCGACTCCATATCCGTTGCTAAATGTTGTTGCTAATTGTAGTGTCTAAATTTAGGCGAGAATTATTATCGACAGAAAAGTGATAGATTTACAACAGCAACAATGATAGGAATTCTAGACAGATTAGCGACCGACACATTAGTATTATGTATATTTTAATGATATTTTTTTTTTTCCTTTGAGTCCATTAGTTTGTGTGAATGACTTGAACTAGTATTATATATTGGATTTTTTTAACAGGTTAAAATTTTTTATTTTTTAAAATTTAAATTTATGTTTTTTACTAAAAAAACATTTAGCTACGATCAATAATACATTAAAAATAATTGGAGAAAGACATAGTGACCAATTTACGACTGCAATTAGCGACATATCTGCGATAACAAGTTTTAGCTACCAAATAGTGACGACAATTTCATGGCTTTTTGAAAGTGATTTAACGACTGCTTTATCAAATTCAGTGACCGATCTAGTGATCATTAATGAGTGACAGATTTCAACTTTGGTTACTAACCTCTTAGCGACAGAAAAAAAGGATTAGCTTCTGATTAATCAGTGACTAAAATGCCTTTTTTTAAGTGATATAACCCTTGAAATATTTCCCAATCTTTTAGCTAAGTATAGCTTTAAACATTGTAATTCAAAAAGTTATGGTATAGAAAGCAATCAATATATTTGAGTACATCCAAGTAAATGCATTAGGTTATTGCTTAATTAGGTATATTATATTTGCAAACTCTTGAATTTTTTCTTGGCATTGAGTCCATATAAAGGCTCTTCCTTTTATTTTCTTGCTGTAGCAGCTTAAACTCTTGGCTCAGTTTTTCTAGCTCTTCCTTCAGAGCTTGGTATTTAGCTGCAACCACACAAATTAATTAATTACACGGTATGTAAAAAGTATAATATACGTATATATTCTGAAAGAAATCATTAGTATATACTACAGTACAGTATAGTACAAATATACCTTCTTTATGAGCTCTTTCATTCTTTAAGGCCTTTACCATTAGCTTCATTTCATGGTTCTGCTTTTCCACCATGGCACATTGAAGTTCATAGTAACAGATTTGTGGACATAACAAAGATAATTTTTCCTGTCATTATTATTACTCAGAAAGAAATGTTAGAAATTATATATAAATATTATGCAATATTGATTCTGAAAAAGTACTATTACTCCTAAAATTTAAGGATTGGAGCAATTGATTTGAAATTAATGCTAGTTGTATAATTGATATATTGAGGTTAATTAATTGTTAGAGATCAATTACTAAAAAGTTCAATAGTCTATATATATATATATTATCCAAAAGTTAAAAAAACCTTTAAGCTCTATGTCCCTAAAGAGATTATACCTTCTGATTATACCAAAAAGAATTATTTTCTGCAAACTGTTTAATACTAATGTCTTAGCTATAGATTCGTACTAAAAGAATCTTTCATTCAGCTGTTATGGATAGGTAAATTGATACTACCATCTATATTGTATGGAAACCAAAACGAAAAAAACGTGGAAACACGAAAACGACACCGGGAAACAATATTTAAAATATAATTTTACACAAAAAAAACAGTATTTTATATGGAGAAACGGACATGTGGAACCATTTCTAAAACATAAAAATGCCCATAAGTTTCCGTGCATCATATACTACATTTAGGCATGGCCATCGGTTCAGTTCTAACCGGAACTGAACCGTACTGTAGAACACCGGGAAAACAATATTTAAAATATAATTTACACAAAAAAAAACAGTATTTATATATCGGAGAAACGGGACATGTGGAACCATTTCTGTAAACACTTTAAAATGGGCCCATAAGTTTCGTGCATCATTATACATACCATTTAGCATTCGGCATCGGTTCAGTTCTAACGGAACCTGAACGTACTGTAGACGAACCCGAAATCGGCCGGTCAAAATTTTGAACCTGAAACCGGCGGATTCAAAGGCGTTAAGGTTCATGTGAATGTTAAAAATGAACCTGAAACCGTCCGGAACCGGTGTTTCGATCCGCGTTTGAACCGCGATTCACAAACAAAAATTACTTGTTGCAATTAACTACATAATTTATAAAACAGAGCTGAAAAAATAGCATCATCATTCATTTAGGTAGAAAAAAAAGTCAGTAGTGAAAAAAGCCTTCATCATTTCACCTTAATATAGCCGTTGACCTTTTTTTTTTACAAATACCTATTTTTTTTCTTTTTACAAAATGACTATACAATTTAAACACAGGTTCAAAAACTAGTTTCGAGCCGTTTGAGGTGACATTTAATTTTTTATTTTGGTAAATAATATTTTACTTCATTTTTTAATCATTTATTTATTTATTTTATTAATTTACTAAATTATCCAAAAAATATAAAATATGTTTTTTATCTGTTATAAGGGGACAATTTTGAGAAAACAATACATAAATGAAAAATTGTATAAATATATGAGTTGAATTTTTTTTTTTCCTTCACAACCCCCCCCAATTATTAATTCTATCTCTCCTCTTCTTAATATTCCTTTTTTTCATTACATTCAAATTTCTACAATTCCATTAATCATTATTCCATTTATTCATTTATTTTACCATAATTCCATTTTAAAATTATGGCACAACAAATTTCACAAGCTCCAATGGAAGCAGTTGCCTCAAAGATCGGAAGAAATTGAATTCAAACGATCATTGATTTGGATTCTGTCACACAAGAAGCAATATCATCCTAATTCTTCACATAGGTAAACAACCAAAATCGATATTTTTCAAGAAGCACTATGCAAAAATTGCTTAAGATAATGGAGAGAAATCAATCGGATTCGAAATGATAAATTCATTGCAAAAAAGATATGCATTCAAGC